GCCCTCTGATTGTTGTTACTATCCGCCTCTTATTATTGATGGGACTTGAACTCTAATGTTGGTTGGTGGGTTTGTTAGTGAGTGTTGAACAAATAAAAGAATAACTTCTGGTTCGTACCATTTGGGAGAAAAATAAGAAACACGTGTCTGTTTACCAGATCTACAAGAAAATAAATAAAAAAAGCGTAAAGACAAAATGCGATATTAGGTCTTTGTTCATCACTTGTGGAGGTGATGAAAAGATGAAGAAAAAGCAAAATGATTACTATTTTTTTATAGACACGTCAAGGGATATATGAAAATCTGGTTGGAGTTGAACTTTGAAGTGTGCCTGGTTTTGGAACAAAGCATAAAAATCAAGTGGAGAACAATAATCCGATCCATATAGTAATATGCCATAAGAATTTAGGGTATATAGCTAGGTTCTGCAGTTCTTTTTTTCATTTAACACTAACCTTTTTCTTAGTTTTTCTTTTCTTTTCAAATACAGGCTATATTCTCTGATTTGGTAGATGAAGTACTGAAGGTCACTGATCTTGCCCTAAGGATCAGCTCAACAGCCTGCCAAGTGGCAACCAACGCTGCAATTCTTTGTTTGTTTCAAGATAAAAGTGAGTTCTTTACCAGAAACTACAATTTCTTTCTTTATAGTATCTTGTTCACGTGATGAGTTCATTCTCGTAATGGGAAGATTTATCTAACCTAAGCCCTTCGAATCTAATACATGCATGTGAATATACGTATATATAAATCTAATATTTGATGCTTATGCATGTGGATATATATTGAAATTCCTGTTTACTATCAGGTCTAAATGCCTGAGGTTAGGTACAGCAGTTGATGGTTTTTAGAGCCACTAGTTTCTGACATGCGCTACTCTATACACTGATAATCAATATTTTGTCCTAAAAGGAGAGTTTAATATTAATTAATTATAAGCTTAATGAGGAAATATTAAAACCATGTGTACATATATAGGTGTGTGTGTGTTAGTATACTACATCATATATACTGGATCGGTTGTGCTGTAATCGATATTAACTTGGATCTCGTCATGATTTCGTACGTGACTGTGAAGTGCAGATATCGATAAATAAAATGCTAATAATTGGGCGCCACTTTCTTTCTTCGCCACTTGTTTTTAATGGCTCAGTTGCGTGGATTTCGATGTTGCTTTAGAGTTAGGCACTCAGCCGACATTGCATTTAAACCTCCACGGCCCCTCAACCTTTTTCTTTTATTTTAAATTTTCTTTTGAAATTATTAAAAGAGATTAAAGAAATACAATTTAATTTAAGGTTAATAAAAATGTGACCGAACTCATAACATTTTAGGTTGTATACAACCAAAAACATTAACTTTTTCATAATAATTTTCAGTTAAAATTTTTTCGTAACAATTTTTTTTATTAGAAATCGAAAATATTATATTCTTCATAATATTTTTGATCAATCGAAAATATTATAAAATTAACATTGTAAGTTATGTCAAATCTAAAATATTATGAGTTTCATAACATTTTAGATCATACTCATTTCCTAGAAACCTTAAATTAGGATGTACATGTTATTTTTTTATAACATTTTTAATTATACAGAAAATGTTATAAAGTTAACATTTTAGGTTTCGTTTAACTTAAAATATTATGATTTTTATAATATTTTAAGTTTCACTTTTTTTTTACCTATCATTAGCTTTAAATTATATTGTTGTTTACACTATCAGAGTTCTCCATTTTAGTTAATTTTTGTTTTCTTTTTCTTTTTCTCCTAGATTTATGATGTTGGACGGTTATATAGAAATCAATTAAATTTAAGAGTAAGAATTACCCGTCCAGCTCAGTTGGTAGAGTGCAAGGTTCTTAATCTTGTGGTCGTGGGATCGAGTCCCCACAGTGGGCAATTCATAATTCTGACTGTCGGAGGTCTTTCACGGTAGCTGTTTTCAACCTGGCCTACTACATTACCTCCCCCTCACCCCATTACATATGGGAATAGAGTCAACTAATTTTAATTAAATTTAAGAGTAAACTATATATTTAATACTTAAATTATTGGATTTGATTTATTTTAAACTTTTATTTTTTAAATTATACCTAATGCTTAGTTTTTGATTTATTTTAGTACTTTGTCATTAAAAACTTACGCGTTTAGTACCTAAATTACAATTTTTCTCTGTTTTAGTATCTAAACTTTAAAAAAAATCAAAATTTAATATTAAATTTTGAACATGAATACTAAAATAAAATAAATACTTAACTTTAAGCATATTTTTAAACTATTAAAATTTTATTTACTAAAACGAATCAAAATTGGTAGTTGTAATGTTAAACTAATTTCAATTTTATTTTAAGTTCTAATGTTATTTATACACCTATAAGTTCTCAATTCAAGATTTAGATTAAAGATGGTAACCTAATGGGGCAATAAAGAACGAATTTTTGCATTTTTCTAATTTTTACTGGATATCACGTGTGTATATTTGAATCTTGATTTTAACATAATTTAATCTGATTTAACATAATTATGTAAAAAGTAAAATAAATTTAAAAATGTTTTCTTAATGAATACGTAGGATGCACATGTTTTGTTTAAATGTAACCTCGATTTTGACATACCCTAAAAATAAAAATATCCTATCTTATAATTTGATTTTGAAAAATAATTAATTCTATTAAATCAAGTCAGATTAAAACTTATTGATTTCAGTTTTCACCATCCCTAATAAAGATTAGGATGATCATTTTACCCGCATTTGACGGGTTTTGACTCGATCGGGTCAGATTTAAAAAAAATATTAGGGTCGAGTCGGATCAGATTTTTTAAGGGGTGAAGTCGGGTCGGATCCAGGTGAAGGGTGAAAAAATTCTGACTCGACCTGATTTGAGGACAATAAAATTTCCTTAAAATTTTATTATTCATTTAATTAAATCCTTAATTTATACCATGTCAAGTTGGATTTATACTATGAAAAATAGGGTCGGGTCAAAATCGGACAAAGGATATATATTTTTCAAGTCGGGTTAACAAAAACCCGACCCGTTGTCATCCAGATCAAGGTTATTGGCTTTTTCTTCTTCTAGGGTGTCCATTCTACACTCAATTAGAAGAAATAATTATTTCGGTACTTAAAAAAATAATAATTATTTTTTAAAGATTTTAGGATTGAGGGTGAACGACTACAACGCAAGTGATCAATCGTTTATAACAATTGCATCGATTAATCCAACATTCATCGTATGTTCAAATTTATCATAAAAACTTTATTTTGAGAAATAATGTTGTTTAAAGACTAGAACATTAAAAGACATTTTTTCGTTAAGTTAACATTCATCGTCTGCTCAAATTAATCTAGTGGATGAGATATAAATCTCTTAAATAAGATTAGGGGATCGAATTTTGACGATTGTGAATGGAACAAATTGAGTTAAGAGGGTTACCCTTAACTCTGCAGTACTTGATCTACGTTAGTCGATCAATTGATCAGATACCAATGGTTATAAAAAAAACATACTAAAACCAGTTAAACTCATCAAAGCATGCAATTATCTAAAAAAATAAAAGACCAGCAAGTTCGGTGTGGTCCAAAAGCTCACATAACCAGCAAGTTTCTATGAAGATAAAATAATAAGCATTTTGAGCCCAATTTGGATTCTCTACCATTTACTAAGGACTCCTTTATGATTTGGTTATGAACTAAAAGAAAACCCTAAATTCAATGTAAAACTGGTCCAATATCGCAGGCGAACTCATTATTTAGCATAATACGACACTAAACAAATTATTTAAGAGTCTACAATAAATATTATAGTAAAAAAAACTCGTCATGTCGAAGTAACGAGTTCTAATAAAAAAAAATTATTCAAATTTTCTATCTTGTTGTAATAAAATTTTATAAATAAATTATATTTACCCCGTTTGTCATAAATCCCTAAACAATTTGAAGATAGACTATGGATAAACTTTTTTACCTTACTAGCTAATGGGTCAATTTTGACCTAATTCAATTGTCCTAAATTTCACTATGGATAAAATAATTCTCTTACGTCATAGATTCTAGATCAATTACGTGCACTCTCATTTCTTCCTCTCCTCTTTGAGTTCAAACATTTACGTTATAGATTCTAGATCATTACGAGCACTCCCATTTCTTTCTCTCCTCTTTGAGTTCAAACATTTACGATATAGATTTTAGATCAATTACGAGCACTCCCATTTATTCCTCTCCTCTATAGGTTCAAACATTTACGTGTATATAGTGTAATTCCTGTATACTATTAAAAAAACACTCCTCTTATCTTCCAATGTTTCAATGTCATCTCCGTAGCTCAAAAGAAATGATAAATTACGTGTTTAGTACAAACTATCATTTTTAGTCTATTTTACTATTTAAACTTTTCATTTTAAAAATAATTAAAGTTTTATTTTAGTACTCATGTTTAAAATTTAACGTTAAGTTTTGTTTTTTTATAAAAAAGTTTATGTATTAAAACGGACTAAAACTGATAGTTTATGTATTAAACGCGTTAGGTTAACGACGGGATGCTAAAATAAAACAGAAACTAAACGTTAGTATAATTTTAAAAAATTAAAAATTTATGTACTAAAACGGATCAAAACTGATAATTTAAGTATTAAATGTATTACCAAAATTTCACAAAACCGAACTAAGCTTTACTTATTTTACAAGCTTGGTAACGGGGGTTGATCTAAATTCTTGAACTATATTTTCAATGGGAGGGAACATTGTGATAAACAAAGGTCAATTAAGAGATGCTAATTATAATAAAATTCGAGTCGAATCGAATTCCAGAACAAGAGATAAAAATCTTCCAACATTTTCCTATGAAAAAAAAAATCAAACTTTTTATTACCTGACTCAAGAGAGGCTGGTGGACAAACTTATCTTTGTTAGAGACAAAAAGGGAGAATCAAGAATGATGAGGGGCATGTCATTTACCTTATAGCAGGAGGATAAAAAAGAAGTAAAATTTGTTCATTTTATACACTGTAAATTGCATCTTCTTCACCGGGAGCTGGGAGGTTAAGGTCAATTAGAGGTGGCAATGGCATCTCCGGTGAGTCTTGTTTGATGAGCAATGTTGTGTCCTCTGGATCTCCAACAAAATGTGACCTTTTGTGACCTCCCAAAGCCTGGCCCGACTTGAAAATCCTGAAACAAAAAGGGCACTCATGCCCTTTCTTCCTCTTTGACCCTAACTTTGATTTACTCACATCCTCAGCGCCAGCTCTTGACTTCACTTTCTTGGGTCCAGACTCGGCAGATTTTAGCTTGGTTTCCCTTTGTTTCTCAACAGATGATTTAGCCTCAAAACAACTGAGTTGTTATCTGAAGAATAAGCAACTGAGTTCAACCCTTTGTTACAACCAGAAGAGTCACTTGAAAGCATCATCAAACACACAGCAGCCTCTTCTTGTTCATGCTGATCCTCAATCCCTGTCACAGATGATGAACCAATTGGCATAGAAATTGAACTGATGGGATTTTTGCACCTTGTTCTTTTGGATCTCCTCATCATTCTTGTTGATGTTTCAGTGTCTGATTGATCATCACAATGATCCTCAAATCTCTGGAAGACCCTTTCTTTCTCAGAGTGACAAGCCATATGACCACAGAGTGCTTTCCGTGACTGGAAACCCTTACCACATTCTTTGCAAATCATCATCTCTCTTAGCAAAGTGTTGCCATTGCCTGATTCATCAGAAAATCTCTTGCTTTTCTTGGGATTTCCCCTCAGATCATAAGTTGCATTAAATGTGGAGAGAAGCTTGTTCATGGAGGAGATTTCAGCTCTTCCCTCTGCTTCAGCACGATTCTCATTGTTCATATGAGTCCTTATGTGACCCCCTAAGGACTTACCACAAGGGTACCCTTTGTTGCAATACTTGCAAACAAACTTCTTCTCTCGATTTTGTTCCATTAGAGAACGATCCCTGGAAAACTGAAAATACCCAGTAAACCAAACAAGAACAGTGACTCATTTCTTATCTCAAATCTTCAAAAAGATTGCATTTTTTCTAGATCAAGGAGCAGAGGAAAAGAAGAAAAAGAAAAACAGATCAGAAAGTTGCTTGCTTTCGTTTCAGTGGAGATGATGATGATCAAAACGACAATCAGCAGCTGAGATGTGACAGTTTGGGATCCGACCCACAGAAAAGAAATACAATCTTTAAAATCTCAATTTTCTCTCATCCCAAACACCTTATTCCAATGAAACCAACAACAAATCCCTTTTGAATTTGAAAAATAAAACTTTTAAAGGTGATGGGTCCGCTAATGAAGGCGATGAACAGGCTTATAAGAAGAAGAAAGAAGAAATAAACCCAAGACTTTCATTTCCTCTCTCTGTGTATACCCTTTGTTTTTGTATTGTATTTGGAGAATTCCATGTAAGCAAAGAGATTAAAAGGAAAAACAAATAAAAAAGATAGGCAGCACGTGTATTCAAGTGAGAACCATCCGGTGATAGGATTTGAACGGTCGAGATTTGTTTTAAGGATCCCCGACGAGTGAGGAGTCCTGCTGTTGCAACATCCAAACAATGCCTTAGCTTTTGTCTTGCTTGTAAAGCTCACACAAGTGCAAGGGCAGAATCTCCAATTCATCAGTACCTTTGCCTCCACTAAAAGAGATCAGTTCCTGCATATATGCAAGTATGTCAAATTGTGCTTGGCCCCCATTTTCTTTGTTTTTTTCTTTTTCATATTTCGATTATATTCAAAGTAATCATCCTTTTATTGTATTAATATAAGTTATGTACACAAAAAGAAAGCTGATAACCCAATTCCGTGCCAAATCTCACCAACCCTAGAACACACAAAATGTTTTGGTCCACTTGAAGAATTAAGGCTGCAATTTCTCGGTCAAGGGCCCTTCTATATAATGTTCTTGTAATGGGGCAATGTGAAGCTTCACCATGTTTGTGGTACAATGCAATTCACTTTCGCTTGATTTTTCAGTATGAACTTTGTTCATAGGAAGAAGTACTTTGATCCTATATTGGAAAACAAGTTTATGATAAGTTATACCAAACATGTCATGAATAGTTTGTTTATTAAGTTAGATAAATGAGTATGAACAAAACTTTTATGTTAATTTAATAAACAAACGAATACGAACGAAGATGTATCTGATTCATTTATGTTCCGAACATTATCATCGCTAAATGATAATGCCACTGTATTGTCATTTCATTGACATTAGATAATAGTTGGGGTTGTATTCAAGATGACACCGTCGAACTTTGTTGTTTTCCTACTAAAAATTTGGACGTGCATAGTTGACACAATGTAATCTCATTTAGCACGCAATGCTGATATAGAGGTAAAAGAATAAAACAAATCGAAGACATGAAAATTTGGTTGAATTCATCAATGCAATAGCAAGGTATTTTTATGGTAGCCATCACTAGCCTTGTATAAAAGTCAAATATCATATACAAAAGCCAAAAAGGATACCATTAACATCAATTTTCCAACATGCCGACGCAAAATACATTTGGCAGAAGAATTTACAAGGAAAAAAATGTTGAAGCACAAAAAACCTTGGCCTTATCTAATGAGACGATTCTGGACAATCGAAGAGCAAACTATCTGTTTCTTTATCTCATGTGTCTTGTCCGAAAATTTCTTCGATTATGTTGCATGTCGGTTGGAGATCGATGCCTTTTGTCGAAGATGTAGAATACCTAGTGTCCCAGATTTTGGCATCACATGTATCCAATAAATAAACATTGTTCACCAGATCACTTGACTCATCTAGTTTACCTTGATGCAAAGACTTGCTAAGGTCGCTCTTCGTTCCACTAACATGCAAGTTGGCCTTTGTGTCAATCGGATTATGAGCGTCAATCATGTTTGGCTGAAACTCGAAAGACATAAGTGAGTCATCCTGTACATTGATATCCTCCATTATTCCGAAACCCTTGTCCGTTTGTTGGAAAACAGAACCAAACCTGCTAGCATCAAATGACTTCCTAACATGTCCTTTGAACGAAAGGGTTTTACCATAATCCTCTCTTGTTGCAGCACTGCAATAATATCCGACACCATTATCACCATAGGAGTTGCCACTATCACCATCCTCATTGTTGTTATCTTCCTGATCAGCAAGGGATTCAATAGCAGAGTCTTCATCATCTTCTATAGCTTGAACTTTGTAAGGCTGTTGATTTCCATAAAACTCATCGTCATCGCTGTCAATGTCCAGACTACTGGATCTGTTTTGAATAGCTCGCCTCTGAAGGATAAAGACATTGAAATAATAGCTGACAAGCTCTCTCTTGGATCGTGATGAGAAACCCACTGACAACTTATTCCAAAATTTCTTACCCAACGATACAGGATTATTGTAAACAACCTCATGAAATATCTCTTCATCTTCTTCACTCCATTTATATGCTACATCCTCTCCCATGTTATAAAACCCCAGTTTCACAAATTTTTCATGTCCAAGGGATTCCAGTAATAGTTTCCGTGCCTCCATAACATGCTGTTGCACACATCTTGAAGAGCCCCTATCCAGGCAGCTACAATCAGTTCTACCAGCAACAACATTCCCACTTCGGTTAGCAGACAAATCCGACTCAGGCATTGGAATGATACATGTTCCCATCCTAATATCTTCACTGTCATTATGTTCCGTTTCTGAGTCATCATTCCGAGCAAACTTATTATTCTTTATATGCCTACCCCATGATGGAACAGTGGCTTGATGATTAGGTCCAAGTGGAACTTGTTTTCGAGGAAACCGGTCCAAGAGTAAATAATAGTCATCCTCAACAGGAGAAAATGTTCTTTGCTGGAAACCAGAGTCAAAATATTCAGGCGAAACAGCTGCTAGACCAGTGCCTGTATCTTCCTCGATAGAAGTGCTAGTGACCAAAGATAAGGGGGCAGTAGTCTCGGAATCCTCATCAACCAAATGAGTATCATCCAGGGCATCGGTCTTATATTCTTCATACCACTGGTGTTTACAAAATCCACCCTCGACTTCAACTGCATCACACAGGAAGGTCACATCAGTATTAAAACCATGCAGAAGAATATGAATCATTCCCATAAAAAAAGAATAACAGACACCCTTTACCTGAAATATGAGGTTTTGAAGGACTATAACTATGAGGAATAGTATCGGCACACCGAGTCAGCTTGTCATTATAGCCAAATTGTCTCTGATTCTTGAAAGGAAGTTGTTGCAGCTCCTCATCTTCAAAAGGCCGCTTAAATCCCATTTAACACCTGTGGGACACACAATCAATTATAAGAGAAGGTATAATAATAATTTTAATGAGGGATAAAGATGGAGATGCAAGTCAGTAACACAACAGCAAATGCAAAGTGACGCATAGTAAGACAAAAATACATCACTTTCAAGATTAAGCTTATGTAAAAGGACAACTGAATAGTATACATTGATTGACATAACCAAGAGATTTTGATACAACAATGCTTGGAAGCACTTTACTATAAATATTAATTACAATGCACATGTCATTTCATTCTACAAGCATAACTAAGATCAAAGGTATTTCACCACTTGACAAAAAAAAATAGTTTTACTTTGGTAAACTGAGAAGGTTAATAAACAATGTCATCAAAGCTAGATTTAAGACATAAACACAGAAAATTGAATAAATTTTAATTATTAAAGTCAATTACCTCTAAATTGTCTTGAATTTATACCCCGGAAGCCTCAATTGAGATGAGAACGGCAGATACTTTCGTACTAAATTTGATTTCACTACGGAAAGGCGCGTTTTCCCCAATTATTTTGACTACCTGGAGAATCCCCAAAATTTGAATAAAGCCCTAACCCTAAATTCCGATTTCGCTGAGAAAACAACAAAATCACGACAGAGACCTCCTCCGAAAAATCACGCCACAACTTAAAAAACCGAAAACCTCTAATAATTTCAGATGGAAACGAACCCTAACATACGGAACAAATACAACCCCTGGAAGGAAAACGAATCGAGAAACTTTAACAGAATTAGACCAAACCAAAGGGAGAAATCAACATGAGTAGACAATAAAACCAAAACCCATGAGAAATTGATGGGAAAAAGGGCTCGATCGAAGAGATTGAAGAACCCTAACCCTAGAAACACATAAAATCAACAGCCGGGATAGAAAAGGAGATCAATCGAAAGGGGATAACGAGAATTGAACGGATATTTACTTGATTTACAGATTAGGGCAAGAAATTAGGAGAAAATCGGAGATCGATTTTCGGATTTAATTTGGGGATCGAGAAAGAGGCGGCAAATCGGGGTGATAAGCAAGCAGGGAAGACACGGTTCGAGGGCTTTTCTTTATACAAAAAGCGGTCCGACTGATAAACCGGATTTGGTTGGTCTAAAAAAAGTACTTTAATGTCATAATATCTCATTGTCCCATTATTATAGTTTAATATCTATTTTGTCTTTATAATTACAACTTTAAGAGAATATAATTTTAAAACTATAAATTCGGAAAAATATAGATTTTTTTTATATTTTTTAAAAATCATTTTTATTCAAAAATTACACTGCAATAACCAAACAAAAAAAAAACAAAATAATAATTCTGAGAATAAATGTAAACAAGGAAAATTTTACAACGTTCGACATGTATTGATAAACATCACTAACGGTGAATACTATTGATTTAATTTATAAACCTTTAAAATTATAAAGTACTCAATATGTAATTATAAATTAATTAAAAAACGAAACATAAATTATTTAAAATAAAATATTAATTATATTATTTTTATAATTTTATTTTAAATAATAATTAGATCAAATATTAATATCTAAATTAAAAAACCTTAAACTTTTTTTTCTTTGAAGTTGTGGTCACCACCATTGTTATCGTCGCCACCGATATCACTATTGTCGTCGTTATTATTACTGTCATCACTGTTACAGTCGCCGCTGCTGTTACTCGATTACTGAGTATGTATATACCTTTATATTATACCATTTGTTCGTCCAGAATAATTTATTATGTATTTAATATAAAAGTACTTTTAAATTCCAATGCCCCTCATTCCAAGCAATTTTGGCTCCCAATCCATCCTGCTGCCCAAAATTATGATACTTTGTTACAATTAATTGCTTTAATTTTGGTAATCCTTCCGCCTAAGTTTGGTAAATCATTTATCACTACAATTAATCGCACATAAAAACGAAATTTGTCCACTTATTTATATCTTCTTTAGTCACTCAAAATATCGAAAAGAATCCAATAAAATTTGTAAAATTAGATTCTAAGAAGATTTTGAGTTTTTTTTCGGCAGAAGATTGAAGAAAAATTTTAGACCTTTAAAAAGACAGATATGTGATCATGTCGTTAACTATTTAATGATGAATTAATCGATCATGAACAATTGAAAAGTTAAGTGATCAAACTGAAATTTTTTAGAACTTAGTGATCAAAACATGAACATGTGCAAAGTTGAGTGGTATAAAAGCATAATTTACCCATGATTTTACTGTCAAGTTTTAATGAAATATCCATTACAAAAACACTTCCGGTTTCAAAAATTGGTAAAATGGGAATTCAATGGTAAATATTTTATTACATTGGAAAAGCCAATACAAATCAAATGCTCTATGCCACTGCTGCCATGTCCTTGAGCCAGAAAATGCCCTATACCACTGCTGACATGTCCTTGAGCCAGTCATCCAATGGCTTCCCGATGGAGTAGACGATAAACCCGATTTTCCTCAGCTTCTCTACATCGACGACGTGCCGACCATCGAACACGAATGCAGGCTTTTGCATGTTATCGAAAATCTTTTGGTAATCAAGCTTTCGAAACTCATCCCACTCAGTGAGAATGCAGAGCCCATGAGCATCCTTTGTTGCAGTATATGCATCCAAAACGACGGTAACATCCGTGACCGAGGTGCTGAAGATGAACCAGATGGTCCCAGTCGAACTTCTTCATCGAGAGATCCCTCTGAATCTGGTCTTGGTTAACTTGAGGGTCGTATATGCTCAGTTTAGCCTTGTCACCAATCAGCCCTTTGCACACATCGATTGCCGGTGTCTCCCTAGTGTCGCCCGTGTCTTTCTTGAAGGCGAATCCAAGGATGGTAATCTTCTTTCCGGAAACGGTTTTGAACATTGAGGAAACAATCCGGTTTACGAACCGGGTTTTCTGGTAGTCGTTCACCTTAATGACTTGTTTCCAATAATTGGCCACCTCAGGGGTTGCACTCACAGATATAGACCAAATTCAGAATATCCGTTTGGAAACAAGATCCACCAAATCCAACAATGGCATTCAAGAACTTGGGTCCTATTCTCGTATCCTTCCCGACGGCATGAGAAACTTGGCTCACATCGGCGCCGGTCGCCTCGCACAAGGTCGACATAGAATTAACCCAAGAGATCCTCTGAGCCAAGAAACCATTGGCAGCGAGCTTGGAAAGCTCGGCAGACCAGAGATTGGTGCATTTGATTCGGGTCATGGGGACCCAATGCGCATAAACGTCCCTCAATGTTTCAATGGCCTTTTTACCTTCCAGGGTCTCCCTGCCACCGATAAGAACACGGTCAGGGTTGAACAAATCCGAAATTGCAGTCCCTTCAGCAAGGAATTCAGGGTTGGACAGGATCTGAAAGTTGATCCCTTTGCTGTTGTGTGTCAAAATCTTCTCGACCGCCTCGGCTGTCTTAACCGGGACGGTTGATTTCTCGACCACGATCTTGTTCGATTTCGCTACATCGGCAATCATACGAGCAGCACTCTCCCAGTAGGTCAAATCAGCGGCTTTTCCCGCTCCGAGACTTTTGGGTTTTCGTCGGTGTATTGAGTGAAACAAACACGATATCGGACTCGGAGACATGTTTCTCGACATTGGTGCTAAAGGAAAGGTTTTTGCCCCTGCATTTCTTCACCACATCGTCGAGGCCAGGCTCGTAGATGGGGAGTGTATCACTGTTCCAGGCATTGATTCTAGCTACTGATATGCCCACAACAGCCACTTGAATGTCGGGACATTTCAGCGCAATGACGGCCATGGTCGGATCGCCGACATATCCAGCTCCGATGCAACAGATTTTCACCATTTTTAATACAAAAAAGCTCCCGAAACAAGTAATCGATTGAGCATCTACATCAGCAAATAAACCATCATCAACCTCCAAAAACGTATCCCATTAATAAATATATAATACAATCCTGAACCAGAGATCGATGCTCAAATTTCATCATCTTCCAATCCCTTCTAATTTGTAATTTATTCTAAAATAAAGTAATAACAATGACAAAACACGAAAAGTAAATCGAAAGACCGAGTCTTGAACGGATAGAGTTAACCGGAGAAGAAGAAATCTTAGAACCAACCTGGAAAGCGGAAGAGGCTGTTCCGAAAACGAAGCCTTTAGGGAAACTGCCTCTGCTAAAATTCTGGGAAAATCCAGCTTGGATTAATCCCAAAGCCATCACTGAAATTATAGCGAAAGCAATGCCCTTTCCAAGCAACACCATGCTTGTTTTTATTTTCTTTTCTTTTTTCAGCCAAAGATTGAAGCTTTGGAATGAGAGATGAATGTAGGGAGATTTGAGTTTGGGATTTATTATTTATAATGAAGAATCAGATTGAGAGAGAGGAAATGTGAAAAGAAAATCTGGGTTTGAAAAAGACCAGAAGATGGAAAATGGGAATGGTGGTGGCGGCAGCTCATAAGGCGATTATGATGGTGTTCAGGCTGTGCAGCAAAATGAGCAGAATCTAAACACGTTCTGTGTTCATGAGATTAGTGGGTGATAAATTTGATGCTTAATTAATTAGCGTATTTTGCTTTTGTTTTGGATATAGGATAAATTACAAATTTGTATCACTCATTTTTCTTCTTACTCATGTTTTGGTCACTAAACTTTAAATAATTTTTAGTCACTGACCATTATATTTTGCAACTTTTGTTACTCCACCTTTAGATATTTAACGGCATTATAACTGGATATTTTTATTTTAGAAATTATGGAATGATCTTGAAAGTTTCTTTTTTTTTGACTGAAAAACCCTAGTTTTAAATTCTTTTTTATTTTTCGATGATGAAGTATCTTCTTTCAAATCCTAACGGTGAGAAGAAAACAAGTTATATATCTTGATTTCCCTTTTTATGAGTTTTTATTTTAGGGATAATTTTCATTAGTTTTAAAGTGATTTAGGAAAAATCTAAAATGATAGAGTGATAGGAGACAATAATACGAATTCGTCGATATCTTGAGTGGTCAAAGAAAATGTCGAAGAATGATAATCACAACATCGACGTGACACGAGGATTAATTTTTTTACTCTAATACAGGAGCATCCCTTTCAAATTTAATTAAAAATAATAATTGAAGATCTAATTATAAAATAATCAAATTAGAAAATTATCTTACTAAAAAATTCCAATTTAACCAGCTCTAAATTATAATTTTACAAAAATGTTGATTTTATTGAATCGAATCGAATCAAACATTAGATCTGATTATTTTACCATCATATAGCTTATATAAAACACATTTGATGTTATTATATAGGATAATATTACCTATATATTTATATATAGTGGATAAGTAATAATAAGATTTTTTTTTTTGGTTTTTCCTCAGCTTTCAAGCCTTCGTCCTCATTTATTTCAGTCGATCTGTATAACATATTTGGTTTTGATAAGTGAGTTTTTCAACCGATTTTTATTTGCATATATAAAAATTCGAACTCGAAATCTGTTTAAACGATATCAAATTACTTACTACTTAAACCAACAAACAAGATTGATGATTGGAAAAGAAAGTAACCAACAACAAAGCACAGATGATTTTGCGTGTAGAAAGCTATGGAATTTGCCTTTTGTTCGTGTCCTAGTCTTGCTTTGTGTAATGGATTTTGATTGTTGATTACTATCAAACTATATATCCATCACTCATCCCGTATTTTTTCATACCCACCTGACAACAATCTCACAGATTACATAAATAACAAAGCATAAAAAAAACACACCCATTAAGAAATATAATAAAATAAAGCAAGAATTAACTGAGTTTATACTCAAACATTTAGTTAAATTACAAGTGATGTCTTATAAAATCTTAAGATTTATATAATAGTATATGAAATTATACCTAAATTTATAATGATCTAAAATTTATATGGTGAGTAATTAATGGGCAAGCGGAGGTGGGCCTGGCGGATACAGAGCGGATAAGGTCTCAAATCCATCACCTACCCACGATAGATATGATTTTTTACATTCACACCCACTCAGTACCACTACACTTATATCTATCCATGCTCCAATTGGAGCCGGTGGGGTGACCTCTAATTACCTAGAATTTAAAATTAATTAACATATTAATAATTTTTCATAACATAAAGTCCGGGACGTAAAATTACATCATTATCTTTGAAAATCACAACCAAACAAAACTGAGAACAAGAAGTCAGCCACGTTCCTTCACGTTGTTTAGTTGTTCATTCCACAGTTCATGCAATTTGGTAAGTTAGCATGAAAACGAAAGCCTTTTTGATATATACACTCGTCAGATGATGTCGAAAAACAACCTTAAATTAAACAAACCCTTCTGGTTTTAGTAACATGTTTCTATTTTTCTTGGGGTGCTTGTAATAATCATCTTACAAGCAAGGCTTGCTTAAACTTCAAAGCTACGTAAAAGCATGCAAAGAAACAAGTTCATCGACATCATTTGAAACGTGACCGTCATCCTACATGCAAATGAGAAAGTCTTTTGATTCTCCTTTCGTTTTCGTATATGATTATCAGGAAAAGCAAAGAATATGTGTTATATCCATATTTGACAGGCATCAACTACATGAATATACAAGTTATATGTATTCATGTTCGAATCGTGTTCGATATATATATATATATATATTATGATCAAGCAGATGCCAGGAAGTTCTTGAACCATTTAACAGAGTTTTTAGGGTATCTCTTGAGGTTATCGTGATAGTCCACAAAATATAGACCAAACCTCGAAGTGTATCCAAAATTCCATTCCCAGTTATCCAGCAGAGACCATGCAAAATACCCTTTAACATTGCATCCATCTTCCCTGCATCATAATGTTATGTGTCGAACATAAGCGTCGGGTACGGACAATTCGAACCAAAAAAAATGAAAATTTCGAATAACATGTCATATACGAAAGGGTATCGTTATCGTACTCAATAGCAGCAAGCAGGTTAGTTAAGTAATCAGTGTGATATTTGATTCTTTTCTCATCCTTCAAAGCATCTTCAATTGGGATCAATATGCTATTTGGATCATCCATTCCTATGATAAAATCACAAATTAATGAAAATTAATGGACTATTTAAGATGAATGTATGTATGTGACTATGTTTATGCATGTATGTATACCATTTTCTGTGATAATGACTACAGGGTTTCCATACTTCTCCTTGAGGTAATTCATTAATCTTCTCATTCCATAGGGCACAATGTATAACCAAATAGAATTCGCCTGCAATTCGATGGAAGTTAAAGGAAAGCGGAAATAATCGTAAAACTGATGAAAAATATCGGTCGGAATCAGTAGTTCCCGAGACGATAGATGAAAGTTCGAATCGTATACCACATCTCCTATAGGCTTCCCATCTTTATCGAAAGCTGCAACAGAGCAGTATCTTCAGTCAAATGGTTAAGGATAGAACTAAATACTATGATCAGTTCAAGTAATGAAATGCAGTTACGTACGTATAGCATAGGCATTGGCATCCGATACAACATCGTTAAGTAGATCGCTGATCGGATTAGTTGCATTTTGACTTGCATAATATGTAGTGTAATGATTGATGCCAACAAAATCTAATGATCCCTTTAGAAGTGCCGACTCGGATTCTGTAAAAGTTGGCAGTCGAGTTCCAACTCGGCTTCTCATCGAGCTCGGATAATCTCCGAAGATCAACGGGTCTAGAAACCTGCAGGGGATTTTGGCGTAACATCACTACAAGTACAACCAGAAGTTGATAGAATTTGCAATAAACGAATGGAAGTGATTGTAATTACCAGCCAAGCTGAAAATCTTGGGCCCTTTGAGTTGCTTCAATGTTTCCTGTTGCATTTGTCGCTGGTACAAACCATTTAACATCCAATGATATCCCAATTGATCCATTTTGTTTATCCTGCATGGTATGTTGCAGAAAATATGAAACTACTGATGTTGCCTGCATAGTCCCGGTCCGAAGTGAAACCAAACAGCCAAAGTAACCCGAATTTTCTACCTTGTAGTTTTTCCTATAAATATCCGCTGCAGCTGCATGGGAGAGGAGGACATTGTGGGCAACAATGTAAGGCTCAGTCGAAGAGTTTCCGACCATGCAGAACCCGGTCGAGCAGCGCCCCGGTGCTTCGAATCCTGTATAATAGCCTTGTATGGAGAACGAATGAGGTTCGTTAAATGTGATCCAATGCTTCACCCTGTCGCCGAATTTCTCAAAGCATGTCTCAGCATACAAAGCAAAGTCGTTTCTGCAAATGCGAAGCCATGTTCATTAGTAAAAATTAAGAACAATACTATATCTATACAGATGATTTTCAACAACCAGTTTGTGCGTAAAGAACGTTGTTACATAATTCGGGGATCCAGCCATCCGATGTACTTGTCCTCCAATGCTTGAGGGAGATCCCAATGGTAGAGTGTAGCATATGGTTCAGTTCCTGCATCAGAACACCATAAAAAAGGCTTCTGTTTACATACACATACATACGCATATCAGATTCTTTTTCCAGGCAATGTTGAACAATACCTTTAGCAAGCAGAGCATTGATGAGATTATTGTAATGATCAACACCTGCTTGATTGATTTCCCCATTACCATCTGTTCCAAGAACAACAAAATCGTTACCATCTTTCATTTCTTCCATACTAAAGCTTTGAATGCAACTGCAAGCGAAATCGACACCGAACTTCTTTCATACACCAAAGGTGCAATGCAAACTTACTAGGGAATATCCGAGACCAAGCGATCGAAAAACGATAAGCATCCATCCCCATGTCTTTCATGAGTTGTATATCTTCCTGGGAAAACAAAATCACATGCCATTGAAAACTAAAAGAGCATTTCGATGAGTAAACAGCAGATGTTTCGTTTTGCTAGGCTTACGACATAACGGTGGTATTGATCGACGGCAACATCAGCATTACTGCCATCGAGAATTATCCCTGCAACCATGGATTATGGTTATACGCTCAACGTAGACCAGAAAGTGCTAATTAATGATGAATGTAAATACCTGTAGAGTGTGAGAATGTATCCCAAATGGTTGGCCCCCTTCCATCCTCCTTCACTGCTCCCTCGTACTGGAAAAATAAGTAACCAAATTGTTCATTGAAGTTTCAAAAGTTACAAAATAGTCATTAAACTTTATCGAACTATCACCAAAAAAAAAATCCTTTTTTGACCAAAACCTGGTATGAAGCAGAGGCAGTTCCAAAAACAAAGCCCTTGGGGAAACTGGCTCTGCTGATGTTCTGTGAAAGCCCTGTCTGGTGGACTCCAAGAACCAATAATGCTATTGTAAAAGCAACGCCTTTCCCTGTATGCATGTTTCTTTCTAACATAAAGAGGATATTGTCTTAATTTCCTCTTTGGTTTCTGCATCTACGTGCATGTAAGGATATATATTGTGCTCTTTTTCTTGTTCCAAGGATGTTTTTTTCTTGCTTTCTCCGGTTTTTAATGTTTGTTCTACCCATGGAAATGGGAATGATCGACACGTTGTTTTCTTGTTTTTTCCGGCCGAAATAACTCCAAAGACAGCAACAACTATCAACTGGATAGGGCTTATCACCTCTCAGACATATCTCCGCTCTCATAGTTCCTTGGAAAACTCGAAAATTAAATATAAACATCCAACGGGAAATCTTTTTCTAACCGTTTGCAATTCATCCTACTATTGATTTTTAAAATGGGGTAAACTACATTATTAGTCATCTAATTATTACCATTTTCATACTTTGATCATTAAATTATTTTTTTTTACAAATTTTCACATCGTTTCATCTTAGTTATAATTATAGGGCAAAATGACATCAAAAGTCTTGTACTTCTGAAAGAAAGAAAAAAACAATGTGGCCTTTCACCTTTATATTTTTTTTCGATGTGGTCTTCCAACTCAGAAAATAAATCTAATGTGACCTTTGATCAATGTTTTTCGTCGTTTGATAGCTACGACGCTGATGTGACAGTACACGGTGCTAGCATGACGATTTACGGTATTGATGTGGAAATCCATATGCCATGTTTGAGTTACCAATTTAGTCTATTTGTTATGTTATCCACCACATTATCAACCACCGTGAACCGTCATGTAATATCGTGAACCGTCACATTAGCACCGTAAAAGTCAACGACGAAAAATATTGGTCAAAGGTCACATTAAACTTATTTTCTGAATTAGAGTGTCACATTAAAGAAAAATAACACAAGAGACGCACTAATTTTTTAAAGTATAAGGACCTTTGATACATTTTTGTCTAATTTTATCATTGTCGTTAGTTTTGATCCTTTATTTAACACACACGATGATATGACATAAAATTCAATAATAATTGCTGTAATTTATCCTTATTTTTATTGTATTTTTCGTTTAAAATTAATTTAATTTAAAGACAGTTTAAATAATCAAATATAATAATAATAATAATACCTATTTTTGAAACAAACCTTTAAAATTTTGAAGAGTAAGAAAGCCCAAAACTATCATTGGATTAAGAAAAGGATTGAAGGTCCAATTTTCCAAAAATCCATTAATCCCCAAAAATCCGCATTCTCATCGTCTCCGAGACAGAAAAATCAGAAGGAAAAAATGGCTGACGACCAAGAAGAGCCACCTCTTGCTATTCGAATCGATCAAACTGCCGAGGATCCACCCCAGTCCGTTCCAGAGCAACCTCAAGACGAAAACTTTTCAGTTGGGGTAACCGTCATCACTGGCTACCTCGGTGCTGGCAAATCCACAGTAATCAAACCAACTCGTCAAAACTTTGTATTTGTTCCTTTTTTTTACCTGATTATAGCTTATTTTTAACTTTTAATTTTTTTTTGGGTGTTGTTTTCAGCTTGTTAATTATATATTGAACGCCCAACATGGGAAAAGGATAGCTGTGATTTTGAATGAGTTTGGTGAAGAGATTGGAGTTGAAAGGGCTATGATAAACGAAGGAGAAAGCGGTGCCCTTGTTGAAGAATGGGTTGAGCTAGCTAATGGGTGTGTTTGTTGCACTGTTAAACATAGTTTGGTTCAAGCTTTGGAACAGCTTGTTCAGATGAAGAAAAGGTAAAAACTACCCCATTTCACCCTTTGGTTATTAACAATGATTGAGTTATTTTGTGATTTGATGATGACCTTTGATTTTTTTTGTTATTAGGCTTGATCACATATTGTTAGAGACCACTGGGTTAGCTAACCCTGCTCCCCTGGCATCTGTTCTTTGGCTGGATGATCAACTGGAATCTTCAGTCAAGCTTGATTCTATAGTTACTGTAAGTAACTAAGCACATTTAGGGTCTCGGATATAAATTCAATGGCTACGATTAGGTTGTCTGTGAGTGGCATTTATACTCCATATTGTCCTTTTCTTTCTGGAGTTTTAGTGTCATCGTTCTCATTAATCAATGTACTTATATGGTATTATGGCAAACATTTATATAATATTGCTGAATGTTGATTACTCGTTGAGGATGACTTGTAACGGGTGTATTCGAGTACATTTTGCAAGTAACTGAGTGGAATCTGTTGCGTATTAGTTTGAGGTATTTGTTTGTATATATGTTTTGCTCGTGTTACCTATATACACAACGGTCAATTGCTTATGTCTGATTAGATGCTGTGAAGCTTGAGTTATTGATAGGTTTTCATGTGCTGAAGCAAGATTACTTGAAAAAAACAACACTATGTCTTCTTGTCTCTAATTCTTTTTGCTGCTCGATTAGGTTGTAGATGCCAAAAACCTGCGTTTTCAGCTAAACAAGCATCGTGATTCTTCCTCGTTTCCTGAAGCATTTCTTCAAATAGCATATGCGGTACTTGTGATCTCTTGTCTTATGTATTACATCCTATGGAAACCAACTTTGCAGCCTTTTTACAAATGACTAGATTGATTTCAGTTATTATCTGATATTTGTCGGTTACTTACATAGGGGTTTAGGACTTCTATCTGCTAAACGTTTTGTACTTTCTTGTAGGATGTTGTGATTCTTAACAAGGTTGATTTGGTTTCTCAAGAGTCTGGAGGTGCTCTTGAAGAGCTGGAGAATGAGATACGTAGCATAAACTCCCTTGCCAATATCGTTCGTTCAGTTCGGTGTGAAATAGACTTGTCACAAATCCTGAACCGACAGGCATATGACGCCACAGTTAGTCCTACAAAACTCAGTCATCATAGTATACATTTTCATAGAACACGCTATCCTCTCTTCTAACTAATACTACGCATTTTGGTTCCTATGAGGGTCTAGCATGCCTCTCATTTGGAAGCCCTTTTAGAAGAAAGCAAATCTATATCTTCCAGAGATCCTCATGATAGCGGTGTGCGCACATTATGCATTAGGCAGACAGAGGGTGTCGATCTTCAAAAGGTATCTCTTTGACACGGTTTATCAGATTCATTCACTTATAAGTCGATGTACTTTAACAGTTCCTGAGAAGTCTGGTAATTAGACGGATGACTTGCAGGCTTGCAGCCATGTATCATGCTCACAAACATGAGGCTTCATTTGTTTGGTAGATGGCTGAGACAAGCCTATAGCTGGAGTATAATTTTTCTTTTAATAATTTTACTGCGTTTCGGTGGAGCCTATTTCTCAGTTTAAGCCTTAGTTGCTCAAATTCCAAAATTACAGTATCACTAAAAGTAACTCTTCATATTTTACGAGCTTCGTTAAGTACGTAAGTGTAAGGTTCTTTGACATTCCATGTTATAATGTTTCCTCAAGTACATGAACATCGGTGAGAGGTTTAAACTTTTCCATGATTCCTGGTTTTACGTTTTAGGTTCGATTATGGATCGAGGAGATTCTTTGGGATAAAAAGTATGGCATGGATGTATATCGATGCAAAGGGTTTTAAATATTCGAGACTCTGATCATCTACATACTTTGCAGGTAATCTTACATGCCATTATTTTGCTTCATTGAAAGTAGTTTGCTTTTGGTACTAACAAATATCTTTTACAAACCATCCGTTGTTCAACATTTCTACAGGCTGTAAGAGAGATATATGATGTTGTTCCGGCCCGCCAATGGAGAAACGAGGAAAAGAAGACTAACCAGATAGTTTTTATTGGTAATATACTCAACAAAAGCCGATTACCTCCATGCTAAACTTTTTTTTACAAAATTATTGGGTTTTGCAGGTTATAATCTGGATGAAAACATACTCATCGATTCTTTTCGAGGCTGTTTATGCGAGCGAACTTAATCCGAGTCATGCCGATTGAGTTCTTGTGATGTACTATTGAACTTTTTAGCTAGGACTATAATATAACAGCATGTATGTTACATAAATCACTGGATTTTTGGCTCACTCAAGTTTTATGGAATAAGATATTGATATTCATGCTTGTTCTGAATCTGATCATCGTTTAAAATATTGGGTAAATTACACAAATGGTTTTTTTTATAAGATATCTTTTGTTATGTCTTCAGCTATGGAGATTTATAAAATAGTCACCCAAATCAAGATATAAGCATAGTTTATAGACAGTTAAACATCGGTGGTGAAAAAATATTATCTTCTTGAGGGATGAGGATTGAATTGATTAAATTGATATATGAATTTGATTTATTAAAACTAATTAATAAAAAATTATAAATACTGATTTTAACCAGTAAATTAAACTCAGGTACCGATTAGAATCTTGAGTATTTTTAGCGAAGTTGCACTTTGCTTTTAACTTTCAGTTTTGATCCATTTTAGTATCTAAATTATCAATTTTAGTCTGTTTTAGTACTTAAACTTTTATTTTTTTTCAAAGTCATGAAGTTTAGTTTTTGTTTAATGGGTATATTACACCAATCATTACTTAACTTTATTTTCTTTCCTATTTCACTCATTGTACTTTAAATCCGTCCAATATTCTCATTGAATTTAATACAATTAGCATTTTTGTTCACTCAGTCGTTAAATATTTAACGAGGTTAAAAAGATGTCGTTTTAGAAAAAAATTCACCAAATTGACGTCGTTTTGCATCTATATAACAACTCATTTATAACGTCGTTTAGTGAGAAAACGAATGAATGACCAAAAATTTTAATTGTGTTAAATTTAGTGAGAAAATTGAACGGATTTAAAGTACAATGAGTGAAATAGGAGAGAGAGTAAAGTTAAGTGATGATTGGTGTAGTTTACCCTTGTTTAATTTTAGAACCCCATCGTTAAATTTTAGTTTTTGTTTCATTTTAGTACTTCGTTCAAACTTTAACGTTAATTTTTTTTAAAAAAAATTAAAGTTTAGGTACTAAAACAGATCAAAACTAATAGTTTACGTACTAAACGCATTCAATTTTAACGACGGGTACTAAAATGAAATGAAAAATAAACATTAAGTATGGTTTTAAAAAAATTGAAAGTTTAGGCACTAAAACATACCAAAACCGATATTTTAGGTACTAAATACATAGTTTACCTAAAAAATTCAGGCACCAAATTAAACATTGAAGCTAAATTTAGGCACCAAAAATGTATATTTACCTTTTATATATACTTCACACTTTCCCTAAACTCTTTCCTATCAGAGACCTCTCTTCCCTCCCGCCCCCTCCCTCTCTCCGTGGCAGCTGCGATTCAAATCTACGCTAAGGTAATATCTCCACCTCCTTAAATTATCAATTTGGAACTATTCCCTTTTGCGTTGTTCTGATCTGTCACTAGTTTTTTAAGTTTTGTTTTTCTTTTTTCTGTTTATATTTCGTTTTACCTTAATTCTGGGTTTTGCTGCAAAACGATGTAGAACTTAGTTCTATCCGTTTAGTCTCGGGTAATTGATTAGGCATGTTTCTAATTGGATTATAATTTTCTTAAATCATGATTCCATGAATTGAAGCTGATTTTGCTGAGTTCCCAATAACCCAGTTTTTGTATTGAAGAGAAAATGGCATTGGTGGTAATTTGTGGACAGCCCTGCAGTGGAAAATCCACGGCCGCAAGATGTCTGGCTGAAGCTCTGAATGATTCGGAATGCAAACAGACGGTGAGGATCATTGACGAAGCTTCGTTTCATCTTGAACGCAATCAGAGTTATGCGAATATGCCGGCCGAGAAGAACTTGAGGGGAGTTCTCCGGTCTGAAGTTGATAGATCTGTGTCCAAAGATAATATCATTATAGTTGATTCTTTGAATAGTATCAAGGGTTACCGATATGAGCTATGGTGTTTGGCTCGTGCTGCGGGGATACGGTATTGTGTCGTTTATTGCGATGTTGAGGATATGCAGTGTAGGAAATGGAACGAGGAACGACGGGAGAAAGGAGAGGATGCATATGATGATGTCATATTTGAGGATTTAGTTAGAAGGTTCGAGAATCCGGATAGAAGAAACAGATGGGATTCACCGTTGTTCGAGCCGGGCCTCAAATTGATGGAGTGGAGAAATCATGTGTTGCCATCGTGGATGCTGTTTCTTATTTGACTAAAAAAGTGGACTCGAAATCACGCGATGTTAAAGTTTTGCAACCGACGATCGCCACGCAAAGTACACGGTTTTCAGATGCGAATTCTTTGTATGAGATGGACAAAGCTACACAGGAGGTGATTAACGTTATTGTGGAGGCACAATCCCAAGCCATTGGAGGACCACTTGCTGGTATTTCTATCGGTCAGGGTTTACCAAGTATCGATATTTCCCGACCAGTCGGGTTGCCCGAGCTACGTAGACTACGACGTACATTCATCAAGTTAACGGGGCAAACAAGTTTGAGTGGGCGACCTCCGCCTTCTGATGCTGACAGCGCGAAAAGGATGTTCGTAGACTATCTGAATAGAGAACTAGGAGCCATATAGGATCACCCCCTTCATCATTGTTGTTAAAGACTATTAATGTTTTGTTTTTTGTTGGACTTATTGGACTTGGCATTGAGAGCCATGAAGGGGCCAGTTTACTTTTACAGGATTCTGTTAATGCGCTAAGTTGCAGGGTTTTGCCGATCGAGTTCCAATTATTGCTGTGGTGAATGGATGATTCCCCGCATGTTATTCAGACTGAGTGTGAGTGTAGGATGCTAGTATGTATCTCTCACAGGTATGGCGACTTTTTTCTAAAAAAATCATGTATTTGGAGAAAGAAGTATCTCCGTATATATATATATATATATGTTGGACTCTCTCAACCTGATGAGATGGGCACGCGTAGGGTGGTTCGATTTTTCGGCCCACCCTGACCTTGTCTGAAAGTTAATGCCCTCCACTCAACCTCTACCTGTTCCGACTTTAGAGAATATTCCACATAAGATCAAATTTTAAAAAATATAACCTCATAAGATCGAACCAAGTCGGAATGTACTCAGGTCAAGCTAGATGGAGTTAGTTTTATGGTTCATGGCTAAAACCCACATGTCTATTCATGGTACGATGAAATGATCAGTGTGTCCCAATACTGTCAAAAGTGGAATCATCCCCATCATGAGTCCTTTTCTGCTATATGCTCTGCTTTTTTACTGACAGGAAAATGGAGTATAAAAAGAACAGCTGAATGATTTACAGGTAAACGGAACAGTTAACTTTTACCAGGTTTACACTCGGGTGGGCTTTAAACCCTGGAAATTCATTTGTTGCTAATGGGGCCATGGCAGTGGGCACGGCTCATTCTCTGCTAATGCAACCCTGGATTCTGACACAATCCACAATCCTCCATATTGCACAACATTCTAGATGGTAACTTTAAACATAATTTCATTTTTCTAATGTAAGGATAAAATTATATTTTTAATCTCTATAAAAGAAACTATAATTCAATTATGACCTTTAAAAAAATGGGTGAAGTACACTAGAGGTCCTTAAACTATGTTTAAAAATTTATTTTGGTACCCATGGAATTTCAAAAGTTAAAGTTCACCTCATTAACATAAAGTTCTGCGTCTAGGGATGGGTATGAGTCGGGTTTGGTTGGATTTTTGGTTCACCCGACTTGACCCGAGAACAAGGAATCCTCCACTCCAGATTCGACCCGAACCGAACCGATATATAATTTAAAAATCTGATTCGATCCGACCTGAAATAATAAAAAAAATTATTTTTATTCAATAAAAACAATGACTTAATTGAAAAAAATAATATATAGAGAGCTATTATTGTAATTATTCATAAATATATAAGGTAAACTTATATATTTTTCGGGTCAGATCCGGTCGGGTATTTTTCATCATAAATCTAAACCCAACCTGACCTGAACATCACACTTAAAAACCCGACCCGAAACCGAATTTTAAAAAAATTGACACATTCAGGTCGGGTTGGAATCCGTCGGGTTCAGGTCCAATGCCCAACCCTATGCGTCCGACCCTGCCTTCAAGATATTTGACATTTAAAGGTGCTCCTCTTCGGGTAGAACTCGATCTCTTATATGTAGAATAGCTTTTTATAACCATGGCAAGTGTCTTAATTATGATGTTACACTGATTATTTTATAATGGTTCAATAAATTTAATGATTGTTTTATAATGTTTAAAAATATAACTATTAAAACAATCATTTGAAAATAATTCAGTGAGCTTTTAGTGCACTTTACCTTTTTTATACTTCATTTTCAATTTTTTATTATAAAATAAATACTTAAAATTAAGATATTAACTAACTTTTAAAAATAAAAAAATTAAACTAATTACCATCTGTTTAGATTTTAAATCCTAAACCATATCCTTAGAAACAAAATTGCCTTAAATGCACTCTTAACGAAACCTCTTCTTAATCTTTTTGACGGCTAAATCGGGACCGTTGATTCGCTTGACTACACGGAATAAAAGAACATGAGCCGCCAATCAGTGACAGCATCATCACCAGCTGTCATTCTGGTTTTTCTTTTTTTCTCGCGACGGTAGCGTACATTTCAAAAAGAAACCAAACACACCCCCACCATTTAATAATAAGGTCAAATTATTGGTTTTTGGTCCCTATTTTATTATGGAATTTGAAATCTAGTCTATACATTTTAAAAAATAATTAAAATCCTAAAGTTTTTGTACCCAATTGAACTTTCAAACCAATAAATTAATGAGATATTTTCATCACTTTTGATTATATCACATAAAATTTATAAAATTTTAGAAGTAAATTCTATATATGTGTAATTCATTAGTCTCCATTTTTATATTAAAAGTAAACTATTGGAATTAAATTTTAAATCTAAACATAATAGAGGGACCAAAACAAAATTTGACGAGCAATAAAACAAATAATAATAATAAAAGTCTGCAAACGGCCAAATTAAACAAATCATTTTCATGTTGCTAAATCATTTCTGCTCTGTGTTCGTCCATTTGCCTTCAGATCTGATTATTTTATTAAAACTTCTGTTTGTTCAATCACTCTCTCCTCCATTTGTCAATTTCCAGATTTTGAATCTCCACCGGTAAGCTCCCACGTAAACCCTAATTTTTTTTTTTGTATTTTTGTTTTCGGTGTTCGATTTACTTCGCTTGGGTTTTAATGATCGTGATCTGTTATTGTTTCCTTTTTGAGACCCGACTTCCGTTTTCAGGATTCTAAAAACGGAAAGTTTTGCTTTTCCTTTTTATTTTTTCAAGGATGTAATTTTTTTTTGGAAAACTCGTGTTAGATTCAATAGCCATTTCATCTGTCAAATTCACCTTTAAAGAATTGTGATTCCCTTATCTTTGAGTCCTCATTTTAGTGGATCATTTGCAGCTTCATGCGATTCGGTCACTCGTCAGAGACTGAGGGATTGACATTACTCGAAATTGAGTTTCCGTTGGCTCTGTTTGGATTCTGGTAAAATATTTACAGCAGTAAATTTTTGCTTTGGTTTGGATCAGGAGTTGTGTGATTCACTTCTGGAGGTGGAATCATTGATCCGTAATAAGGAATTGAAATTCAGCTCGGTTTTTGTATTTTTTATATATACTGGTTCTGGTGGATTTATTGTGAACTTTGGATTTTGTTCTATTTTTTTCTCTGTTGCTTGTGATGGTTAGCAGAAGATTGCTGCTGAAGGAGTGTAGAGTAGGGGATTTCGATGCTTGCTGGGCTTATCCAGATTTACTGTAACATATGCAGAAGCTCGTATGTGATGATAGGTTATGGTTTTCGCTATTCTTGGAGATTTAACTAAAGGGGTTGGCGATTTTGTGGATTTCCAATCTTTTAACGTTTGAAATTTTGGACATGAGAAGCCCCTGGCTCAATAAACTGTCTGTAATTTTCGGTCCTAGACCGCCTTTCAGCTGGTTGTTATTGTGCTTTGTCAGTGTGCTTGCGCTGATTGCAGTCTTTGGATCGTCTTCCTCTAATTCCTTTGACTCTGTACCTTCCACTCCGGTACCTGAGATCTATCCAAACTATAGAAGGCTAAAGGAGCAAGCGGCAGTTGATTATTTTGAGTTGAGAACTATTGCGTCGGGAGCTAGTCGACAAAGGGAGTTTGGTCTTTGTAGCAAAGAAAGAGAAAATTATGTACCTTGTTACAATGTGACAGAAAATACGATATTAGGGTTTAAAGATGGAGAGGAGTTTGATCGGCATTGTGAAGTGTCTGGGCAAGGAAACTGGTGTTTAGTTCGTTCTCCAAAAGATTATAAGATCCCACTCCGTTGGCCTGCTGGTAGGGATGTGATATGGAGTGGCAATATCAAGATAACAAAAGACCAATTCCTTTCTTCTGGAAGTATGACAAAAAGGTACTTATTAAATACATTTGGAGGCCCATATCCATTGTTTACAAACTTTACGTTTTACAGTTCACCAGTGTCTGGGTTTTTTAGCTGCTTATATTATTTTTCATGTGTTCAAAACCAGCTTTCGGATTTACCTTAATAATATTTTGACAATTTTTGTAGAATCATGTTGCTAGAAGAGAATCAAATTGCTTTCCATCCCGAGGACGGCTTAATCTTTGATGGTGTCAAAGATTATTCTCGCCAGATTGCAGAGATGTTGGGACTGGGAAGTGACTCCGAATTTTTTCAAGCCGGTGTATGTCTTTTATTTCACTTTACTTTTAGCATTATGGGGTACCTTGAGCTTTAGGATTATGATGTTTTGGGAACAATTTTTTTCTAATATTTTAGATTGTCCTATTTAAAAATATAAGAAAGATATCGTATGGTCTTCAAGGGGAACTAAAACTATCTGCACTGTATAGTATTTAATCTCCTACTCTGATTACAGGTGCGCACTGTACTCGATATTGGTTGTGGATTTGGAAGTTTTGGAGCTCATTTAGTTTCACTCAAGTTAATGACTCTTTGTATTGCTGCATATGAGGCAACTGGAAGCCAAGTTCAACTAGCTCTTGAGAGAGGTCTTCCAGCGATGATTGGCAATTTCGTATCAAGACAACTGCCATACCCATCACTATCATATGACATGGTTCATTGTACTCAGTGCGGTATTGTTTGGGACAAGAAAGGTACCTTCTCAGTTTAATAATTGGATTCAGTTATTTATTGATACTACTCTTTTACTTTCATGATTATTTGGGAAAAGGGGCTATGCCCCGATTCTTTTCCTACTATTTTTTAGTGATAATCACTATGTCATGTTTCATTATAGAATTTTGTTGAAAGTGCTGAAAATGTATACGAGTGCTGAAAATTCGTCCTCAAGTAGCTGCCCTATTCTGAAATTAAATATGTTTTGCTGTCAACCTATGATTTTTTAAAACAGAGGGGATGTTCCTTATGGAGATGGATCGGTTACTCAAGCCTGGAGGTTATTTTGTTTTAACCTCACCGACAAGTAAGCCACGAGGAGGTTCAACAGGTATGAAGAAAAGAAACATGTTAACGCCACTAGAACAATTTACGGAGAAAATTTGTTGGAGTCTTATTGCACAGCAGGATGATACTTTCATCTGGCAGAAAACTGTTGATGCACAGTGCTATTCTTCTAAGTGAGTAGACATTTATAATTTTTTCTCTTCTGCTAGTAAATCTTAGTTAAATTGCATAATGGAACTGGCTTCCAATTTCGTAAAATGGTTTTTAGGTTGTGTTATACCTCTTTACTTTGAATTAGTTTTATTTGGTTTGCTTAACTTGTAACTGTCAGACCAGCTCTGTTGTTTTTCTAACTTCTATTTCTTGAATATAGCAGGAAGAATGATGTACCCCTCTGCAAAGAAGGATATGATGCACCCTATTATCGGGCCTTGGTGCCATGTATTACTGGAACTTCCAGCAAACGCTGGATTCCTATTCAGAACAGGTCCTCTAGCTCAGATTTGAGCTCAGCGGAGCTTGAAGTTCATGGAAAGTTTTGTTCCAACTCATTTTTTCTCCCTGCACATGCTTTTTTATGTTGCTATTGTGCTGCAATATGCAATCTGTATTTTATGTAGTATATGGTTTAGTTGGCTAGCATATTGATATAATTTAATCTTTGCAGGAGTCAGTCAGGAGGATTTCTTTGAAGACTTGCAAGTTTGGAAATTAGCTTTAAAAAACTATTGGTCATTGCTTACACCATTGATTTTCTCTGACCATCCCAAGAGGCCAGGAGATGAGGATCCTTTGCCTCCATTTAATATGCTACGCAATGTGATGGACATGAATGCTCATTATGGGGGCTTGAATGCTGCATTACTGGAGGAAAGGAAAATGGTGTGGGTGATGAATGTGGTGCCTGTTAGAGCACGCAATACGCTTCCTCTCGTTCTTGACCGAGGTTTCCTTGGTGTCTTGCACGACTGGTTAGTTGTTTTACAACTTCAAAGCAATATGTTTAATTTGAGTTTAACATCTTTGTTTGGGTATAAATATCTTCACAAGTTTTTAGAACTGATCTTACTTTTTGTGTTCTCAGATTATGATCGCGTTTAAATTTTTGGATCATAAAGATTCTGTTAAAAATTAAAATAGTTTGCTTTAATTCAAATTCATTCTTAAAATTGATTAATACTGTTGCCTATAATATTTCTGTATCTACCTTGAGTTATTGAATTATAAGTGGCTTATTTGCTCAAATCAATGTTGCAAGTAAAGACATGATTGCTATTTGTGAATAAAATTTACATTTGGAGTCTGTATGTACATTATTCTCTCTGAGATCAAGTTGAACATTTAAATTTTCTTTTCAAGCTTGCTCATTTCTGATGTAATTTTTGAATGCCGAAAGAACATTTTTATCTTTTGTATCTGGTGCTGTACAGGTGCGAACCCTTCCCAACATATCCTCGAACGTATGACATGCTTCATGCAGATGGACTCCTCTCACTGCTTACTTCAGAGAGGTGCGGTTTGATGGAATTATTTATAGAGATGGATCGAATTCTTCGTCCCGAGGTATTATTTTTCAGAGTTTGTGGTTGAAATCTAGCATCCTAATTCTCCTGAATGATCCCCCCTGCAAAAAGAATTTGGGTTTTTAATCAATTCCCTAGAATGTGATGTATTAATTAATTGTTTCTGAAATAGTTATTACCTACTTGTGCAACCGAATATTAGAAGTTATAATTATTCATAATCAGAGCTTGTGTTTTTTGCAGGGCTGGGTCGTGCTCTCTGATAAATTAGGAGTTATAGAGTTGGCGCGTGCACATGCTACACAAATACGATGGGATGCGAGGGTGATCGACCTTCAGAACGGCAGTGATCAGCGCCTACTTGTCTGTCAGAAACCTTTTCTGAAGAAATGATTGATTGAGCACCGAAAGGTCTCAAGCCTGCGGATTGTAAACTTTTCTTGATCTGGTAAGCTTCTAATTAATCCGCCAAAAAAACTTTTTTCGCTCCCATGCACAATTTGTGATCCTCTAATTGATTTCTCATATTGGAACCTGATTGCCTTTGGTTTTTAAATCGACAGAGTAAGTGGCCTCGGTAAACAAAACGCTAACCGGATTTTATGCCATGAATTCTTTCAAGCTTTTGATGGTATACGTGATTATGTTCTACAAACCGGATTTTAGGCGCTGACACTTACTGTAGTTAGCTAGCATCATTGGTTTCATGTCTTGGAACTGATTATGTACCTATTTTGGCAGAGGATGAACTGTCTGTGGCATGACAACCCGAGCTATGCTCCATAGTTTCAAGCTGTTCGATATTAATGACCGAAGGAGCATGGTGGAGGATTGTAGATGAGCTTAGAAACGAGGTTTGCTGCTAAAGCAGCCGTGGTTCGTTTTCTTTGCCAAGGTATTTGTAGCCAATTCATTCGTCCACATTATTTTTTCGCCTCGGTCTTAATTTTGGGTTTGTTGATTTCTTTATTATTTCGATATCGAACTCTCCTTGCACCGAACCATACAATTTTATTGCTGTGCAATGCCCATGAAATGTGATAATTACAAATAGATTAAACCATCTAATCTCTATGGACGTGTGAGGTTCATGGAGCCATTGTTTCTCATTTTTCTTGTCAGAAATTGTTTTTGATGCATAGGAGTTGGGTTGTAGTTCGACTTTTGAAAAGTATCGTGAAAAAAATAATGCTTTTGAAAAGTATTTATAGATTTATTAAAATAGGAAACGATATACCAAAAACCTCTTTGCTTTAGGTATTAAAGTAGATCAAAACCGATAATTTAGGTATTAAATGCGTAGTTTACCCTTAATCTTAAATATCCTCATTCAAAAGGGCACAAAATCATATTCAAACCCTTTATCTACCATCAAATATAAAAAATCAAATACCCATCTCCATGTGATCCCTCAAATCAACCATTTTACAAGTGTTGAAGTTCATTAGCGGTCACTGAACTATAAACGACCTTTTTGATCAACGAATTTTTCAATGTTACAAAATGGTCATTAATTACTTGTTGATATAATCACAAAATGGTCATTAATTAAGTTTGTTGATATAATTACATATGGCCATTAACTTATTGATATGGTCATTTAGAGGATCTTTTAGTGCGCAGTAAGAAAAATTCACTGGACGTGGACTGCTTGGTTGAGATTTTTTAATCTAAAAATTTAATTTTTGGAGTTGCAGGGGATTGAACCCTATGCCTCTGCCTCTCACATGCAGAGCGAGCGCCCTACCATTTGAGGTACAACCCGTGTGTTGACGTGCCTTGAAAAAGAATTTTAACAACACTTTCTAAGTAAAATTGGGTAATTCAATTAGCACTTTCCCATATTTTTCATATGAAAAGTGTTTTAGCATTTAAGAAATCAGTTTCAAATCCAAATAGATTAACAGCATATAAGATTCAAGTTCCATCAACTCGCGTTAACAAGTAATACATAGGAAACAAATAGCTTATAAATATTTATTGATCTCAATAATAGAATATTATCTTAATAAAAAAGATAATATTAATAAAAAAAAGATATAATTGTATGAATCACGTGACTTCCGTATTAAAAGAATTGTTATTATTCCTTAAGGATCCGGATTCGAGCATCATAGATGCTAGGGACTTGAATGCTCTATCATATCAACATATTATGATAATATAGACTTAAGACGGTATTAGAAAATGAATATTGATAAAATCAAGATTTGAGAAAGAGATCTTAAAATTGTACTTTCGTTCAAATTGATAAACTTTTAAATATCAAAGAATTTTTAAAATTATTTTAAGTTACGATCAATTTGACAAAATTATAAATTTTAAAGACTAAAATTATTATTATATTATATCATATCATTATTTTCATCAAATCGATAATATTTTTAAGGTAAAAAGACATTAGAGGTCCTTGCACTTTTAGAAATAACAATATGACTCATATTATTTTTTTCTCTCCATGCGACTCTCTAACTCAGAAAATAAATATAATGTGGCCCTTTGACCAACAATTTTTGGTCGTTGACTATTACAGTTCTGATGTGGTAGTGCACGATGCTAACATGGTGTTCCACGGTGTTGATGTGACAGTTTGCGATAGTAGATTAACGTGGTGGATGAAATTATAGATGAATTATATCGATAACTCAAACATGACAGATGGATTGCCACTAGGAATGGGCACGGGTCCCGAACCCGACGGGTTTCGACCCGACCCGATTGGGTTGAATTTTTTTTTAAAAAAGGTACGAGTCAGATTCAGGTTTAGGTGAAAAATCCGACCCGACCCGAAAAATAATATAAAAATACCTTATATATCTAGGGATAATTGCAAGAATACCACTCTTTATATTAGTTTTTTCAATTAAGTCCCTATTTATTAAAAAAATAATAATTTTATATTATTTTGGATTGAGTTTCAGATCTGGTGGAATTACTCTAAACTCGAGTCTGGTCGGTTTCTGGTGGAGGTATAAAATTTTCGAGTCAGGTCGAGTTGGCCGAAAACCCGACTCATGCATATCCCTAATTATAACATCAATACCATAAACTACCACATCATCACAGTGAACTATCACGTCAACATCGTAATAGTCAACGACGAGAAATGTTGATTAAAATATCACATTGGATTTATTTTTTGAGTTGAAGGATCATATTGAGAGAAAAAATAATACGGGCAGATTATCCCAAAAAAATATAAGTATCTCTGATGCCTTTTTTTTTAACTATGTTAAAAAATAATTAAATTATGAAAAAAATATAAAATAGATAAATTGCAACGTAATAAATTTATCCTAATTTTTATTAAAGGAAGAGAAATAATAAATTTATCCTAATTTATCCGATTAGAAAGGAATTGAACAAGTCCTGGCAAGTTAAAAAAGAAAAAGTAAAACAACGAATGGCGCGCTTCGCCTTTCATGGCTTCCCCCTCAAACTTTGCTCCACCCTTCGACTCCCTTCTATAAGTTATCATCTTCCCCTTTCCTCTCTCCCATTCCGCCATTTTACTTTCTGGATTGTTTTCCTTTTTGAAAACACACACACACTGTTCTATCTGTTCTTTCTCTCATTCTCAACAATGTCCTCTCCGGAGAAAGAGAGAGAAACTCATGTCTACATGGCCAAACTCGCCGAACAAGCCGAGCGTTACGAAGGTAATACAAAAAACAACGATGGGTTTTCAATTCCTTTCGAGGTTGAACAAGCTTTAACGATTTAAGTTTGAATTTTTCTCTTCCGTGTTTTTTGGTTTCTGGGTGTGAGGCAGAAATGGTGGAGAGTATGAAAAAAGTGGCGAAACTCAACTGCGAACTCACCGTGGAAGAGAGGAACCTGCTCTCGGTGGGGTACAAGAACGTGATCGGTGCACGGAGAGCTTCGTGGCGGATCATGTCTTCCATCGAACAGAAAGAGGAATCCAAAGGGAACGAAGAGAATGTTAAGCTGATCAAAGGGTACCGTCGAAAAGTAGAAGAAGAGCTCTCCAATATTTGCACTGACATTTTGAGCATCATCGATAAGCATCTCGTCCCTTCTTCCACCTCTGGTGAAGCCACTGTTTTTTACTACAAGATGTAAGTTAATGGCACCTACTTAAGATTTTATGTTAGAGTTGTGAAACTAAGAATTTATATTAAAAATTTAGCAGTACGAATTTAGATTATGAATAGAATTAAGAAACTACCCGAGAATTCGAAATTTCTCGGGTGTCCGACCGAACTCCAGTACCTCTCTGTCCATCCCTGGCTACCGGGATTGTTAGTTTTATCGAATCAGAGAGAATCAGATAACTAGTGTTCTCTGATTGCAAACTTACGTAGCAAGTAATTGGATCCAGGAAAGGTGATTACTACCGGTATGTTGCTGAGTTCAAGACAGATCAAGAGAGGAAAGAAGCTGCTGAGCAGTCATTGAAAGGTTATGAGGTAAGTTAAAGTTTACACTTCTGTCATATATAACAAAAAGATCCCATAATTTGATCATAGTGTTCTTCACTTACTGCAGACACCTAATTTCCCCTTTTTTTTCTTCTCAACTTGTTAGGCTGCTTCTGCTGCTGCAAACACTGATCTTCCTTCAACTCATCCTATTCGTCTCGGCCTCGCCCTTAACTTCTCTGTGTTTTACTATGAGATAATGAACTCACCTGAGAGGTATATGCTCATAATATCTGTTATAGTAATTAGTTGAATGGTCTAATTGGTTGGGGAACTTGCAGGGCCTGTCATTTGGCTAAGCAAGCTTTCGATGAAGCCATTTCCGAGTTGGACACTTTGAGTGAGGAGTCATATAAGGATAGCACCCTCATTATGCAGCTTCTAAGAGACAATCTCACTCTCTGGACTTCTGATTTGCCTGAAGATGGAGGTATTCTATTTAAAAAAAATTAATGTACTTATATCAAGTATATGAACTTTGGGAAGAATTGTCTTAGACAAGTATATGAATTTGTTGCAGGTGAAGACGGCGCAAAAGGTGAAGATGCTAAATCCTCAGCAGCCAAATCTGAGGCAAAAGCCGAGGTAAGGGCTAAACCCTCAAATTATGACTGAATTCTACATTAGTCCCTAAACTTCGAAACATACTAATTGAGTCCACAGAGTATATATGATGTGGTACACCAACTGTTTTAAACACATTGATCAAAATTTTGAACATGTGTATATATAGGGTATGGAAGAGCTTGTATAACATGTCATATCCAAATTGATTCATGTGTTCTAAATATACTTCACATCGAATCTAAATTTATAACTAGCTGACAGCACGAGTGCATGACCCTAGTAATGCGATATCGATACTTTCGAGGATATAGTTAGATCGTTTCGAAGCTTTAAAACTAATTAGAATGATATTGATAGCTTCATTACATGAAAATGTCTAATTGGTTTTTGCAGAAAAATTGATGAAGAGAATCTGGGAGGCCTGAATTGGGGCGGGGGCAAATTCAATGTGTTTTCAAGTGCTCTTTGCCTAAATTGGCTTCTTATGAACCCTTATTACAAGAGGATTGGATCAGCCAGTTTAGCCCATTTTACAATACTAAACGATCATTTTGCAGTAATACCAAAAACCAGATGATCAAGTTTGATCAGTTGATCCAAACCATGTCTTTAATTTCCACTCTTGTTTTCATTTTTCCTTTAATTTAATGTTATCTAATATGAAGTTACTTGTTGAAATTATGGATATTTTTTTTTGCTTTATATTGTTTCCTTTTGGTTACATTTTGTATCATATTATAAGCTTCTATTTTCGAAAACGTAGGGCCGTCAATTATCAGATAAAGCATTGTTTAATCTATGAATTCGATCATTTCAACCACTATCTGTCATTGAACACTCACACATCTGGTAGTTTTGGTGTTAGAATCCGAGATCTCAAAGAATAACAACAATTCCTACACCACTGAGGTCGCTTGGTTCGTGCAAAAATAATATTGAACTTAAGATTTCTTGAATTGGAAAAATGGAACATTAATAATGTAAGAAAATTTAAAAAAGAAATTATTAACTTCTATTGATTTTGCCAATGCAAATTAAAAAAAAAAGGAATTTATTGGTAAATTACCCTCTTTGGGTGTTGAATTCTATTTCATTTTTTAGTACAAAGAAAATGTATGAAAATTAATTGTAAGATTATAAATACTTTCATCATGTAAATTAAATATATAAAAAAATACAAAAGTAAAAATTTATTTAAAAATGGTTAGTTAATATCTTCGTAAGGAAAAAAATTATTGATCTAACTAGATAAGACGTTGAGTTCCTTAAACAAGATCAATAGTTCAAATCGTAACAATATGATAAAGAAAACTTCAATAAAATAGTCACCCTCGTAATGACGCTATGTAATTTCAATTCAAATTAGTCGATCAATGTGTCAAATACAAATAGTTATAAAAAAAACTAGCATATCCTTTAGATAAATATTTTACTCAAGAAAGAGAAAAATCTAAAGGAACAAGAAGTTGTCAACAAACTAATCACATTACATCAAAATTGCAACCTAATTTTTACAATAATATTGTGCAGCATGATCAAGGAACATTATGAGTTATCACAGTTAGATATCATCAGATCTCAAGTAAAAACCCAAATCTAGTGCAAATATATGGATGCCCCAAATCCCCCAGAAATGATTTAGGGTTCTTCCTTGACAAAATAGCTTTGTGGCAAGCAGAAATCTTCCTCGTGATTTAGGATATCAATCCCTTCATCATCTGGTTTCTGAAATTTACAAAAGAACAAATTAGCTCAGGAATACTACCTTTCAAGATAACCAAAAAGGAATAGCACCATTTAGGGTTTATGGTGTCCGATTTTTCAGCAGGTAGTATCCTTTTATTTAGTGTGAGACATGGATATGTACCAAAATAAGCATTACTCGGTTTTTTTCTAAGTTGTCTATATATTTCGATGTTTCGATGATCATATATGTCAATACCAATGTCTGGTTATGCTTCTGAAATAGATGTCCAACTCGGGTACTTCGAAAAAAAATGAAGAGCATGGGCAGCAAAGATTTGCTCATCGAAGAGTATACGACACAGCTATCGATTCTTATGTTGGAAAAGGAAACAAAGAATCATTTGCAACAACTTTTTTCTGCTTCCAATCCAACATCACCATGTTAACCAGGCTAGACTTGCAAGTCTCTCTATCTAACCACAATGGGTGAACACAAAGAACTGAAACTAGCCATTTATCATTTTTTCGACTTATACAGACATGTAAACATCCAAGACAGTAGTCAATGCAAAAAATCATCTTCAATGGAATATCAAACTAAATTAATCGGAACAAAAATAAACTATCGAAAAAGGTTACCAGCACTTCTAAGTTGTAGAAACGATCGAGCAATTGCAAAACCTCATCTGGAGAAAAATGCCGGTCAAGGCTGGGGCAACATTTAGCAATCGATAAGAGAATGCAAAAGAAACAATGACCCACCACAACACTGGGATCAGAAGAGGGTATCAATACGAAGCACGAAGAACAGGAGGCGGAACAAACCTCTTCCGCAGGAATTCCATCAGACCATAGAGTACAAAGTGGTGATGCACGCCTGCAGGGAAGTATATTCGATTCAAAGTAATGCTTTCAAACAGATTGTTGAAGACTAAATCAATCCTAATTGTTTTACCATAAACATGTGCATGAACTGCTTGATGCCCTGATTTCTTTACCATATATAAGTTATTCCAGCAAGCTCAAGGGATTCAAAGCTTCAAATTGATCCATAAACAATAAACATGAAAAATGCACCATTAGATTCTAAAACTACCAAAACAAACACACAATATAAAAGCTAACCTTTCACTGCAAATACCAGCACAAAAGACATTTATTAAATTTTCTAGCTGAAAATATAGCTTAACCATTTCTCAGCACAAAGGGATTCAAATTTCCAATAGTATTTTACTTTTATATATATATATATATATATACCTCGTAATGTGACGGGAGGATAAATTTCAAGTGCTTCCAATAGCCTCAACTCCAATTCTACCTTTTTTCCAGATTAAACTTGAATTAATGAACTTTTTTCAGATTCTTTACCTAATAAATTAGTTGGTCCTATTCTCATATGTAATGAGATAAGGGGGAGGTAGGGTAGTAGGATGCCCCCAACACTAGGTTTAGAGCAACTTCCGTGTAAGACCTCCGGCAATTATGAATTACCCACCGTGAGACTCGATCCCACGACCACAAGGTTAAGAGCCTTGCTCTCTACCAACTGAGTTGGACGGGCAATTCGAGTTTACCTAATGTACAATAAAAATAATAGGATAAATTACGCGTTTAGTATCTAAATCATCAGTTTTTGTACGTTTTAGTATCAAAATTTTTATTTTTTTCAAAACCATACCTAAGGTTTAGTTTTTGTTTCATTTTAGTACCCACCGTTAAAAACTTCAGTTTTTAACTCAATACTCCGTTCAAAATTTAACTTTAAGTTTCGAAAAGATTGAAAGTTTAGGTACTAAACAGATCAAAACTGATGGTTTATGTTCTAAACGCATTAAGTTTTTAACAACATGATACTAAATTGAAATGGAAACTAAACGTTAGGTAAGGTTTTGAAAAAACTGAAAGTTTAGATACTAAAACTGATAATTTAGATACTAAATACATAATTTACCCTAAAAAATACATCTAAAATTACACTTTAAACCCATCTTTTTAAGGTTTATAAATTGGATATAGAATAAAGCAATAAAGGGCATTAGCTGTATGATTAGTTGGTACAGCTTAATTTGGTCATCAAGCCAACTTTTTCACTACAAATGTATACTCAATTTATCACTTTTGTCCATATCGTATTTTTGTATCAATTTAGCCCTCGAAGTTGCTTAATTGCATCATTTTATACCATACCCCTAACTTAAAATCTGAAATTATAAACCCTAAAATCTAAATAGAATATAGAATGATGCAATTAAGTAGCTTTGAGGACTAAATTGATGTGAAAATAAGATAGAGACGAAAATGACAATTGAGTATATTACAGGGACATAGATGACCCTTAAACCTATAAATATTAAATTCGGAATTTACATACATTACAAAAATTAAATTTATTACCGTTACAAGTAATGATAAGTAAATTATCATATAAGATATTCGTATCCAGCATTCATACCTAACGTATATAAGTATGACCCTTATTTTAAATTAGTCTCTAAACTTTTAAACATTTCAATTTCATCCCTAAACAATAATCTTCCTTCTAAATTGGTCAGTTTCCATTTTATGGTTTTGGATCGAGGAGAAGAGCATGTTCAAAGGGGAAATTGTTGGGGAACTTGTCACCTTTGGTTGGGAAACTTACCGAGCTTAGAGTTTTATCTCTTGCTTTTAATGAGTTCGGTGGTGAAATTCCTTTAGAAATTCGGGGCTTAGAGAAATTAGAATAACTTGATCTTGAAGGGAATTCATTTACCGGGAAGTTGCCTGATGAATTTGTGGGGTTGAGAAATTTGAGGGTTTTGAATGTCGGGTTTAATGAACTCGAAGAGCAGATTCCAGGGTCTTTGCGAAATTTGTGGACTTGGAGGTTCTGAACTTAGCTGGGAATAAGCTGAAGGTGTCTATACCTGGTTATTTCGTTAGTTTCCGTAACTTGAAAGTGCTTCATTTGTCTAATAATCAGATAAACGGGTCTATTCCTGATCGTTTCGGAAGTAATAACCGGTATCTAGAGCATCTTGATCCGTCGGGAAATTTCCTGGTCGGGAGTATTCCTGGTAGTTTGGGTAATTGTCGGCGATTACGGACTCTTCTGTTGTTTTCCAACATGTTGTATGGTGTTATTCCTAGTGAGCTTGGCCAGCTTCATATGCTTGAGATTCTTGATGTTTCTAGAAACAAACTTAGCAGTGTTATCCCCTCGGAGCTTGGAAATTGTGTTCGGTTGTCCGTTCTTGTGCTATCTAGTCTCTTTGATCTTGTGCTGAGGGGGCAGGATTCAAGTCAAGAGCTGTCGTTTAGATTGTTGTATTCTACTACTGATGAGTATAATCGTTTTCAAGGCTTCATTCCGATGGGAATCACAACACTTCCAAAGCTTAAAGTACTTTGGGTGCCCGGGGCGAATCTTGAAGGGAAGTTACCGAAAAATTGGGGTGGTTGTGAGAACTTGGAAATCGTAAACCTAGCTCAGAACCAATTCGATGGTGATCTCTTTGGAGTGTTCAATGGATGCAAGAAACCTCGCCATCTAGATTTGAGCTCAAACTGGCTAACCGGAGAGCTTGATGAGAATCTTCAAGTTCCTTGCATGACACTTTTTTATATCAGTAGGAACCTCATGTCAGGATCGATCCCCAGGTTTAATTTCCCTCTGTGCCGGTATTTTCTCCTTAAGCAACAAACTTATCCAAACCCGCGATCCAGCATCTGCTAATCTGTCATTCTTTACATATAAAACACATCTCGAAATGGTTTTGCCATTTTCGGGTTTGAGAGCTGCATTGGTTCACAATTTTGGTGGAAATAACTTCTCCGGTTCACTCCCATAGCTCATGCACTTGCTTATCTACATGATGAATGCGCCCCGAAGGTGATGCACCGGGATGTCAAGCCGAGTAACATATTGTTGGACAACAATTGTAATGCTTATCCGTCCGAATTCGGATTATCAAGGCTTTTGGGTTCCTCCGAAACCCACGCAACAACTGGTGTAGCTGGTACATTCGGATATGGTGCACCCGAGTATGCTATGACCTGCCGTGTGTCTGAGAAGGCTGATGTTTACAGCTATGGCATCGTGCTGCTCGAGTTGATATCAGACAAGAAAGCTTTCGATCCTTCATTCTCCTCACATGCAAACAGTTTCAATATCGTCTCTTGGGCCTGCATGCTGCTGAGACAGGTTCAAGCAAAGGATGTGTTCAATACAAGGTTATGGGAAACAGGTCCTCGTGATGATTTGGTAGAACTGATGCACTTGGCCATCACGTGTACCGTCGATAGTCTCACTAACCGACCAACTATGAGTCGAGTTGTCCGAAGGTTGAAGCGAATTCAACCTTCTTCCATAAGATGATATAGTTTCTAGTTGCATGACTTGATCTAGAAGGAAAAGCTCAAGTGTACAAATCATAACTTTGCATTTGTGATGTTGGCTGAGGTTGCCATTGCAATATAATCTTTTCCTTATTTCCTATGCTCAGTTATGTCTGTGATTTGCTCATAACCTAATTAATTGGGAATCTGAAAACGACAGTCGAAAATATTATGTTAAAATGAAATAAAAATTAAAGGTATGGTTTTGAAAAAAAATAAAAGTTTAGGTACTAAAATATTATGTCCTTCATTCTCCCCGCATGCAAACGGCTTCAATATTCTCTTGGGCCTGCCTGCATGCTGCAGCAACAGGGTAAGGTCAAAGATGTGTTCACTTGGCCATCACGTACGTGCACGGTCGATAGTCTCACAAACAGGCTAACTACGGGGTAATTTGTCTGAATTCGACCTTCTTTGGTAAGATAATATGCTTTCTAGGTGCATGACTTGATCCATAAGGAACAAATCAAGTGTACAAATCATAACAAACTGTGCATTTCTAATGCTCAAGTAAGATAAATATGTTTTTTTTTCTTCTAAGAAACCACATAACCGAAAGAGGTGCAGTCGAAAATGGTCCTATGAAACATCAGAAAATCAATTTTCGAGGGGGATTACGAAAGGGAAGCAAAGGAAGGGTTTATAACTATATGCCTAAGGGGGTGATCCACATTGCCACCGTCCGCATGCTTGACAAACTCTACCGGAGACAGAAAACTGCCGTGGCATACACACATTATCCTCACTTCCTCTCCCTTTCCATACCTGTATAATATACCATCTACTCTTTTCCCATTAGGGCCTTCTCCCTTTGTGAAAACACAAGGCATGTCTTCCATCGCGTGCCCTCGTTCTTTCCCCTTATTTTCATTCGTCTTATGTAGAGTTTCACACAGCAGGCTGGGAGTTCTGCCGAATTCACCCGTCTCTGTCCCCCAAGAACCGGTAGCCTCTCGATTGCCTTGATCTTCCGAGGATAGAGAACAACCGGAGCTTCTTGCTTCACCACTACTTCTAGCTCCTGCAATGAATGTGATCACATAAAACATTAAAATCAGCAGCTCCTTACCAAATGAGTAATCAGTATTTCGATCAAAGATTCTCTACACCGATGTCCGACATGCCAAGGAGGCTCGCTACACGGGAGAAGTCAATTTCTTCAACATTCTATTACCAAACACCAACTAAAGCAGACCAAATGACATTCAGAGTATTCAAAAAACATGCAACCACTCTCAAGGAATTCACCAGCAAATCCAATGAGCAGTAAAAGCAACTTCGATCAAGGATGATTACAACTATCAGCACACTTCTATTGAATAATCAAGGATTATTGTTCTCGTCGAGACATAACCTTAATCTATTCCAGTAATCTCTCTTCTAATGATGATCAGCAGAGTCTAATCTTAAACAACATTCCTCATTACAATTATAAGTGCATTAATGCATTGAACCATCGGTCCTTTCTTGCACTAGCTACTACTAAGACTAGCTAAATTAAACCTACAATCCACCATAGATGAAGCCGAAAAAGGGTACCTTGAAGTGCTTTATTTTCCTCTCTGGAGCTCCTTTGCTTCTCACATCTTCTCCTCTTAGCTTCCATTCTTCTTAGGGTCTGCAACTCTTTTCTCTTCCTCCGCTCTTCCTCGGTCTCGGTAGGCAAAGAAGATGCTCTCACGAGAGTCGGGCGAGGAACAGACGGTGGAGTAGTATCGGCATCATCGATCTCCCTGAAAATCGGTATCGAACCAGCAATGGACGATGACCTTTTCAGCTTGTTTGCATGCTTATCAACCCCAAATCTACCCCCTAATGATAACCCAAGATTCAGTTCCACTTGTTCTTCTTCACTTCTTGTTGAAGCTTGGGTTTCACTCGGGGTGAACCTTTGTAATAGATTTCTGGGGTAATTCTCCGTTTGCAGAGAAAGATTCATCTCTTTGCTGCTGCTGCTACTGATGCTACTACTCGTGTTTTCACTTGCTTGTGACCCCGTTTTCGATGGAAACATTAGATGGAAAACCCAAACCACAGCCAACAAGAAACAATTTTCTTTTTTTTTCTTTCTTTTCTTCTCCCTCTTGAAATAAAGCTACTGCCTTTGGCCTATGAAATAGAAACAAAAACCAGTTCTTGATCTCAGTTAGCCTGAACCATGTAAATGAAAAGGGCTAAATTCCGGTTTTGGTCCCTATACTATACTTAAAATTTGAATTAATCTCTTAACTTTTGATTCTTTACTTTTATAATGTGATAAGTTAGTTCAAATAATAGACACTACTAACTAATCTCATTAGTTCAAATAATAGGCACTACTAACTAATCTCATTTCCCAACTATGTTAACATAAATATGGATGATAATTTAATTTGAATTTGATATGTTTTGATTTAATTAGAGCTTATAAGTTCAGAATTTTAAAAAAATCGAATTTGAGTTAGGTTGAATTTTATAAAGGGAGAGATAATATCAAATCCAGAAATTTAAGAATGAGATTCAAGTAAGATTTTTTTCCTTAACACAAATCTAGATTTAATCATTTTCTCAAAATAATGGGGATGAACTTGACCCTTATGGCGTCCTAATGCATCTGCCCCTGAGGAGAGGTCGAGATGATTTTGAGTTTATGGTGAAAAAATCATTAATTTGATCCGAAATAATGATATAATCTTCTTCTTCTATACATGTATGTGTGTGTATATATATATATATATATATATATATATATGATTGCTGTAATAATCCTCTTCCATATTTTTTTTTCAGTAAGGTGTCTATTTTACTGATTAAATGTAAATTTGAGTTGGTCGAATATGAATTTTTACCCTAAAATTTTAGTCAATTTCAAGTTTAGACTTTCTTAAATTTTGATCGGATCATATTTGAGTGGAGAGACATGCTTCTCAAGTCGAATCAAATTGACCGGAAACCAAATATAAGGACTGAATCTTAATTTAAGGATAATAAGAGGACAAAAACCGAAATTCGACGTATAAAAGAATCATAAACTTGGATTATTATTCACATCAAAGAATTTTATTCATTAAACGTGGAAAAGGAAATACCCTTTGGGGAATGATAAGGAGAATGCAAGAGGTTTTTCGTGAAGAGACAGGTGGTATGTTATATATGAATAATTGCTTTTTTAGTCCTTTCTATTATTATTATTTTGGGTAAAGCCAGCACGGTTTGGTTTTAGGACGTTTGGCAAATCGACACGCGGGTTCACGTACATGTTAAGTAAACGAGGTAAATAAATAACCGAAGGGACGTGGTTCCCTCGAGGGTATTTTTACTATTATGGGTCTCAAGAAATTTCCAGATTTACAATCAAGTCCCCACCTACCCCACCACCATTATACCCAGGGACGGTGTTTGGTACCCAAGGCAGAGGTAAACCGACAACAATGCATTGCACTAATTAAAAACGAACGACGAGAGATGAGACCACATAAAAGCCACGTGTAAGGATTTTAATGTTCAATCCTCCCGACAACAATATATATTTGTAATTACAAACAGTAATTATATGTTTTTAAATATTTGTTAATTATTGAATAATAATTATTTAATTAATTTATAATAATTTGGGCTCGAATTTGATACCTTTAGACTCTAAAAATAATAATCGTTCCTTTAATAAATTAAAATTATTTAGTTCCTGTAAAAAAACCTAAACTTCAAATAAGGTTTTAGATAATAAAAAAATATTACTATTTTGTCAACTCAAAATAAAATATATTGATAAGTATATATTTGTAAGAATGAATGATTGATTTATGTAAAGTGTATAAATTTAGGAAGTCAAATTAAAAGTCTAAAGATGCAAAATTCTAAAATATAAAGGATATAAATTTATATTTTCAATATAAAGTAGGAAAAAACAATTAAATTATACATAAAATTAAAATTTTTAAGAGTGAGATCGCACGCTTAACATCCCTAAGGGTCGGTTTGGTACAATTTTTAAAAATAACTTTTAAAAGTGTTGTAGAAATAAACTTTTAAAAGTGTTATTTGAAAGTATAGTTTAAAATTTAATTGTTTGGGTTTGTTGTTAAAAAATGAGTTTGAAAAGATAAAATGTTGATTATATATATTATGTTGTAAATTGAAAATATAATATTTAAATTATATTTACACTTATTAATATTATGATATATAAAATATATAAACTAAAACTATAATAAAAATATAAAAATATTCTAAGATAACTCATTAATAATACTTTAATACTTTTATATATGAAATATTTTATTAAGAAAAAAAATATTTATCAATAATTTTTAATATGTGGATAAAAAATTATTATGAAATAATAATTTAAATACTTGCTTTGACAAAAATAATATTACAAAAATATTAGTAATTAAAATAAATTATTAAGTAATTAATTAATTTTAAAGGATGTTAGTATTAAATTATTAAAATAAAATGTAACTACGTAAGTGAGTGGAGCCTATGCATTATTAAGGGTAAAATTATAATTTGCTTCCAAACGAAAATTTGAAACTGAAAAAGTTAGAAATCCTAACTTTTGCGGTTGGTTTGAAACTACCGTTTACAAAACAATTTGTTTTTCATTTTTTACCCGTTTGACATTGATTTTACGGTCGAAACAGACTTTTTACCTAAAAATACTTTTAGAAAACCACCTAAAATGAGGCCTAAGTTTATCATTATCTATTTCAATATAAACTTTAATATATTTATATAATTATAGATCCTAAACTTTAAATCTTAATCTTTAATATCTAAATTCTAGATATAAATTTTAGATTTTAAAATTTATAGATATAAACGCTAAATTTAAAATAAAACGTATAACAAAATAAAAACCTATAAACAAAACAAAAAGTAAGATAAAATATAAAATACAATTAGTAACATATAAAATTCAGATAAATTAAAAGTTATATATATATATATTAGAATCCACTTATATTTAATGTAAAAATTTTAGTTTTATATTATTTTAGTTTCGTCGAATGAGGTGAAATAAAAAGCTGAGATTAATTCATTTTTTTTCTCAATGAACTTCTTCTCATTTTCTACCGTTAATCTAAACTTTTAATTTTTCTTCATCCAATAATGTAAAACTTTTTAATTTTATATTATATAATTAGATCCTAGCCTATATTATAATATACTTTTTAATATAAAAGGGAAATAATCATGGGCTTAAATTTTCTAGTTAACATTAAACATAAGCTTAATTTTCCGTTTTAAGCTTTTAAAAACATAAATTAAAAAAGAGAAAAATTGTGGGTAGGACACGTCAGTGGTAGACAAAGTGTTAGAAAGATTCACCGACATAAAAAATGGCTTTCATACACTCAAATTCGAGATCTTATTTAAGCGAGATTTCAAGCAACCTATTAATATAAAGCTAATTAAAGTTTTGATTGCAAATGGTAGGCCAACAAACATGCAAATACATGTGTTATTATTATTCATGAGAAAAGTTATATCCTTAGAGCCCCCGGCGAGGATCGAACTCGCGACCTTTCGCTTACGAAGCGAACGCACTACCACTATGCTACGGAGGCATGTTGATGATCGTAATTTATTTGTATTCTTTTTTCAATAATTTACCTTTCTAGTTTCCATAATGGTAATGGACTCATGTTCAATCTCAGAATAAAAAACAACTCCGGTTTCTTCCTCCTTCAGAAGTTGCTGCCTAAAGCGCTTTAATGGATACTGTTAGTAGCAGCAATAGCAACAGCAGCATCGGTAACGGTGAGGTAAGTGGCGTAAGTGAGGGTCAATGGAAAGCTGAAGAAGCAATTGGTTTTCTTTGCAATGGTAGACAAGCTTGGTACGTACAATTGTTAGAGAATCCGGTGCTCATTTAATTGTTCTCAGGTACTACAATATTTGCATTTTTCTTTCTATGATATAGAATTGCATACGAGTGGCACAAAAGTCAAGTGTTTGAATAGTTGTTTCGTCGTCTTCGACTTGGAGTTTTAGTTTGTTCTTATGTATTTTGCTTCCTTGCAGTCCACATTCTGTTCACAGAGCACATGCTGCAGAAAGTGAGAAAATTGCTCATATTAGCCTGCATCTTTCTTTTGGTTTCCTCGACGTGATTCAAGGTTTTGTAAGAAGTCAGAGCTGGAATGAATGATTTTTCCTTCTTTTTTGACAAAATTGCTCATATTGGCCTGCATCTTTCTTTTGGTAATTGTATTTGCATGTGGTTGAACAACAAGTTTATCTACGGATTGTAATTTGCATGTAACCAACTGATGCTTTTCTGAAGTATCATGGAACTAACTATGCTTCTATTGCAGACACGAGCAAGATGTTCGTCTAGCTTCTCATCTCCTTACACTGCATGGACTTCAATAAACCCTCACCAAGTTCTGTACCACAAGTTGTTGTGGTTGCATCAACTAAATAGGTTGGTTTATCTAACTCAAGATGCAAGACTCCGTTCAACGTACGTGTGATGGCCATCCTTGTCTATATGGAACTTAGTGTTGAACTTCGGGAGATGTTTAGATAATGATTCACATCCCATTCACATTTCTTGTCTTGCCATGTTTATGTCAGCTGCAGTTGGTCTTAACTTTTTTGGTTGATTTCTATCTTTTTCCATCAAGAGTGGATGCAATCGACCCAGCTCTAAGAAAGTCAGGGCGTTTTAATGATGAAGTTGAAGTTACCACACCTAATGAAGAAGGGTTTCAAATTCTCAAGGTAAGACTGGTTCCCTTGCATTTTATTATGTCCCTTGTTTGTATTTTAATTTTGGGAAAAGAGTAACTTTTGCCCTATAATAATAGACTAAATTTATCACTTTCGCCCATATCATATTTTCATATCAATTTAATCCTCGAAGTTGCTCAATCACGTCATTCTATAACTTACCCTTAATTTAAAACCCTAAACTATATTCCCATGTCCTTTAAATAATAAACTCTAACTTAGGGTTTATAATTTAGAGTTTTAAGTTAGGGGTAGATTATAGAATGATGTAATTAAACAACTTCAAATGCTAAATTGAGTATACTGCAGGGGCAAAGATGAACCTTAAGCTTTTAATTTTTAATATAACAACTGAATACAGGCGGATCCTACTGGTAGAAGAGTAGCACATGGT